GGTCGCCAGCCTGGGCACCTCGCCTGTCCCCTCGTACCTGCCCCGACCCGCACCCCAGCCACCTGGCCTCCGAGGCGCGCCCCGCCGCGGATAGGCTGCGCCCGGCCCCCGGGGGCGGGACCATCGCGCCTCGGGCTCGGTCACCCAATCCCGCGTCCGGGCGTCCTGGTCCTCGTCCTCGCCTTCGCGACCACGGAGGCCTGGCCGTGGGGAGGCCACCGGCCTCCTGTCTCTCACATCCGAACGCCTTTTCCAGACGCCAGGAAACGCCCTCCTGGGGGACACCCCTCGGGCGATGCAGACCCGGCCGCGAGGACAAAGCCCAGAGCTGGGGGCCCGAGGGAGCGGGGCGAGTACGGCAGAGCACCCTCAACCTCCCAGAGCACGGTGCCACGGTCCAGTCAGCGGGGGTTCCCGCCAGAACCTCGCTGTAGGGCCGCATGAAGAGGGGTGGCGCAGGCTCCAGAAGCCCGTCCGAGGGTCCCAGCCCAGCTGGCAGTGCCCTCCTGGCGCCGTCACAGGGGCCGGGCCCACAGCGGTGCCGGAGCGCGCAGATGGACGCCGCGTCCCCCGCAGCGCCAGCGTTCTCGCCTCCGCCCGCCCGGGGCGCCGGCCAGCGGCCAGCGCACCCGGGGCCAGCTCCTGCCGCGCTCCTCCTCCGAGCGAGGCCGTCTCCACGGAACCCGGCGGCGCGCGCCCGCCGGCCCCTGGGTGTGAGGGGCGCGCCCCAACTGCTGCGGCTGGAGGGGCTGTTTCCTCACTTCAGGAGTGGAGCCCACCGCGAGGTGCAGCGGCCGCAGGAGGCCCGGAGGCTCAGAACCGAGGGCCCTGCTGTGGCCCTTTCGGTAGCTCCTCCCCGGCTGGGTGCTGTGGCCCTGCAAGCCCCCCGCACTGCCCTCCAGGTTGGGTCCCTCAGGGCCAGCGTTCACGGCGGCTGGCGTGTGGAAGTCCAGCCTACGCCCCCCCCCCCCACGCAGCACCCCCTCCCCCCGCCTGCCGGCCATCTACCTACAGGTCACTCGGGCTGCAGTGAACCCACCAGCGTTTCACTGGGGTCTGGACTCAGCTGTCTGATAAAAAGCCCTCAAAAGTCCACCCCACCGGGGGCTGGATGCCACAGCCGAAGTACACCCCACGGCTGGGTACTTCTCTGCAGTCAAAAATAACACGCAAGGCAGAGACAAGGCTCAAACACACCGAGCCAAAGGCCCCCACACACAACGCCCGCGACTGCATCTGCGCCACACGGCACAGAATGCCCACGAACCCCAGCGCCACACAAACCACATCTGTGGCTGCTGGAGGCCAGTGGGGGAGGGGGCGAGTGGGTCACCCCCACTGTGGCCGCTCGCAGATTCCTGACCCTGAGAAGCAACGAGACAACAAACTCCTACTGTTTGAACTTACTACGCTTCCAGAACTCGTCACGCAGCAATACTTAACCACCTCGGGTTCAGACTCTTAAAAATGGACTCTTAAATGACAAGTGTTGGGGAGCATGTGGAGAGTTGGAGACTGCGTGCCGTTGGGGGAGTGAAAAGATGATGCAGTTGTCATACAACGGAATACGGTGGGTCCTCAAAAACCAGCAAAGTCGCCCCCTGACCCAGCAATCGCGTTCGGGAATAGCTCAGAAGAACTGGAGTGGGTGGTTGTGCACCTGGGATCATGGCAGCGTTCTCTGCAGTCATGACCAGGCACCCGTAGCAAAACGCGGTGCGGAATATTATTCAGCCGTGAAGAGGAGAGAGATTCTGAGATGCATGAACTTGATGACATGTTGCTAAGTGAAAAAAGTCTCAAAAATAAAATACCGTCCGACCCCCGTTGGATGAGGGACCTAGAGGAGCGAGTTCTCAGAAGGAGCAAGTAGGATGCTGAGCGCCAAGGGCAGAGGGGAGTGCGGGCTTCAGAGCCACGTGCGCTCGGGTTTCGGCTCCAAGGACCAAGAGTTCTGGAGGCGGCGCGTGGTGGTGGTAAATGTACCGAGCGCTGAGCTGCACACTGCAAAATGGCTAAGACGGCAAACTGTTGAACCCTGCGTTTGTGGGAAATGCTACAATCGTGGGGACAGGGTGAACACACTGGTCGTGGGAACCTCCAGCACCACCCGCGGGTGCAGGCAGGCAGCTGGGACGTGCGGTGCGAGCATCCCCCACCCGCACGCCCACCACCCACTGTCCCTCTGCGTGGGGGTGGGGATGCCGGGAGCGGCCCCCCAACCAGCACGCATGGGGCTGGGCCGGCGCTTCGGCCCTGCCACTCCTTCACCCTTTGGGGCGTGGGGCCTTCACCATCCCCCATCACCATGTGCTCCCCAGAAGGGACCCCCACTTGCCCACAGTGGTAACTCGCTCCTTCACCCCATGAGCACACCATTGATACCACCTGCCTCCCTCGATTGGGGCCCCCAAATAAATCTCTTGCACCCCTTTCCTGGTCTGCAGATCTGCGTCAGGAAGGGCAGGCACCTCGATCACCCACCTGCCCGCCCACCCTTTCCGGAAGCCCAGTGGGCAGGCCCACCCTAGTGCAGGGGGCACAGCAGAGCCGGAGAGCCGGGGCCTCGGCACCGGGCTCCCAGCCCAGACCTCAGGGACCAGGCCGCCCTCCGGGAGGGCCCAGCACCAGCGCGAGCAAGGCCAGGGCCGGCAGCCAGGCAGCGGGGCCGGAGGGGCGGGCAGGAGCCTCCAAGCCCTCCCAGGCCACCTGCTTCCCACGTGCTATTGTCACATGGGGGGGTCCCCTCTGCAATCTCGCAGAGGCCCCCTCAAAGACTGCTGCCCTCCCACCCTGACACAGGTCGGTCCTGGCTGGTCAGCACCGACAGTGAAGCTAGCCCTTGGGCTTCCTTGGGCTGAAGCTCAGAAGGCCCGTCCGGAGGGCCCTGCGGAAGGTTCCAGGTCTCAGGCTTACACACCCTCTCTCCGGGCACCTTAGCCCTAGTTTTCCAAACAGCAGATCAAGATGTAGATGCCCTGGGCCTAATCGGGAGCTTAACCTGTGTCACGCCCTGCCGGCCTCCCTCAGGGGAGTGACCTGCTGCCGCGGGGCAGGACGCGCCTTTGGAGAGGGCAGACGGCAGCGTGGGAGCCTCCAGCCCCTGCTCCCACACCCCCTGGACCAGGGAGCCGCCTTCCTCATTGGTCCCCCACACCCCGTCAGGGGCCGCCCCGAGGTGGAGCGAGGTGAGGCAGGTGAGCCGCTCCGCTGGGCAGGAAAGGGAAGCCCCACCCCTCCGTCCC